GTGTTTAACTCACATAATTAACTGGTTGTGACAATGAACGCGCAAGACCGCACACGCGCCTTCTAGATTCTCTAATTGCGTTGGCTCGGTTGTTTTGATCGGTAAAGAAAAATTTTCTCGGTGAATTGATTCTGGAACATGATAAAGAAAACTCTCTAATGACTCGAGTTACACATGACACCGTTTTTGTATTTTTAATAAATCCAATTTCTTATAATTGTATATACATTGTTATCACGCAGACTTGTGCTTAATGCGTGTTATGACCACGCACGATGCGAGACGGTAACTACATGGTTAGCCATCAGGGCCATAATGAACGCCGTTGTATTTTTTTCTATAGTAACGCCGTTACGTTTCAATTACCATATATACTGTATGCTCACAGAAGATTTGAAACAGCTAAGATGTATTCTTTTTATATCGTAAAGACAGAAGAAATCTGTGCGCTATGTTGGATAAACTTCAAAACTTGGAAATGTTATTATTATTTAGAGATATAAATGAAGAAGAATGCGTTGTAGACACGATTTCAAAGAACGTCATAGATGGTGGCCGGCTTTGGTGGTGATTTAAATTCGAATTATGAAGTAAAAACAGTCAAACCCATTTCACTGATTTTCGCCTGATGATAAGAATAGCTCAGAATTTAGAATGTAGTAGGCCTAGCTCGCTTACAATCGATCGTTTGAAGTTGATGTATTTATGCAGTTCCAGGGAACGTCTGTTGTGTCGTACTTTGTAATAATCGTCGCACTTTGTAATAAAGTCTGTCGCACCATAGAGAAAGTAGAACAGCTCTATGGTCGCACTTTGTAATAACTGGGCTGTCGCACTTTGTAATAAAATGAGCTGTCGTACTTTGTAACAAAACGCAATCCATGTTATCATCTATAGATTTTTTTTTTATAAATTCTCATTTTTCTCGTATCGAATTTGATTTTTTCTCCTATTTCGTATTGTGTCATCTTTACATCGATGGAATGGCTCCAACCCCAATAGACCCCGCCTGGGATCTAGTGGGATTTGAGGGTGTCCAAATCCAGAAGGGGTCCAAGTTGATATTTCTCGGATTACATAATTTTATGTCCGACGATGGGGATATGACTTTAATTCTACTAGGACCCCCCGGTTCGGTCAGATCATCAATATGGCGTGTAGGAGGTCTCGTGTTCATCTTGAAGGGGTCCAATTTGATTTGTTTGACTTTTCATACTATGTTATCGTTAAGTC